GGCTAATTGCTTAAAACTGACATATCAATGCGCATAGTCCACTGGGGGGGTGGGCCGTTGCCTCAAACAGAAGATTGTTTCTGGTATTTTTGACATAGGTGAGATGTAGAGAGCATTGGAGGTGAGCAGATGTCTGCTTATGAATCAGAGCCGTCATCGGCTAATTTGTCGACCGGCTGAACAGTGACAGCCCGTTCTCTACCACTGAATGGTAATGGCCACCCTTCAGATTGTTACAACAAGGAAGAGCCCATTAGTCGACTATTTAGGGATTCGCGACAGGTCCTCATGGTCATCGCAGCGATAAAACGACAACAAGCCTCGCCGAACTTCACCCCTCCCAGTATTCCGTTATTTGCGACAAGAACGAGTGATAGTTTTTGGGAAACTTTGAAATTGATGTTTCTTATATTTGTCTAATTCTAGTTATTTGATTTTAATTTGTGCTTACGAGTCAGTACCATTGAAGAATGTATGTTTTTCAACAAAATTCACCTCTCATTTATGCCGGTGCGCGTACGGGTCACAAACCGAATATAATCATTAGTATCATAAATGGGTGGGTGGGGGGCCTCTAGAAGTGGCTCCATTTCGAAAGAGTAGGAAAGATCGACACTGTAACGGTTGCAAAATTTCCTTTACTTTGTTTTCTTTCACATTATCGTCTTTCTGATAACCTTGCCTCCCACCCGTCCTTTTGTCTGTTTGAATTTTTCATTAGCACTTGTTATTAACAAATCTGTTTACGTTCGTCAGCTACATAACTTTGGGAACTTTATTATGCTGAAATAATTGTGATAGTACGTTTCATTTGTGGTTGCCCCGCATAAACCGAGATGTTGTTGATGATTACGGACAACGGCCAAACAGGAAATAGCGGAACATAGCACATCGGCATTTTGTTTTTACTAATTTTCAGGCATTGGTCAAATCTGTTCTTTTTTGAGTCTAGTGGTACATCCTCGCGGGCGTTCTCTCCATGGGCAGTCTAAGAACAGGCTGGTCAAATAAGGTCAAAAGAATTTCAGTTTAACTGGTAACATCACAGCAGTCATTTGCTCATTGCTATAATGTACAACAAGAAACAAAGTATACAGTAATAAAACAAGCACTAAACAATGATGAACAGGAAACGAATTGATAGATAGACAGTAAATGCAAATGAGTATTTAAATGTATGCCTTTAATATAGTGTGATCGATTCGACGAGATTTCGCCATTCGGGAATACGAAACCGTAACCATCGTCCGGCATAATCTGAGCAATGTACGGGGCCACAAATTTTCGGCACGCGTCACTCGTCACGTAGATGCAAATCTGAACAGAGCTTGTGGAAGTGCGTTTTGTACGAACCTGCTGCAACGGATGGAGAGAATCGATGAGAACAGATTTACCAAGATTCAGCTTTAGCTGTGACTTGATCTACCACCATGCTTACGATATTCGTATGCAAAAGCAGACCTGCTCGGCCAGTAGTTTTCATAATCGATCAGAGTTTGCACAGATCCTTTGTACGAAGCGACAAGAAGTGTATTGACGATACGTACGTAGTTAGCCGGAGCATGCAGCTTCTTAGACACAGTTTGCTGAATTTTTTTGGCCAGGGTAGACATTTCAAAATATGGTTACTCCGACGCAGTTTGGCAACTAATTTTATGCGTGTACACGTAAGTGCAGAAGTAGAATTTTGTCCATGGGACACCAAATTGACAGAGGCCGACAGCTCTGTTTATCTGCAGCTGAATAAAGGTTATGAATAATAGAGGCTATTGATTAACGTATTGCACGAATGCTTATTGAACCGGAATAAATACTGTTTGATAATGAGTGAACCATTTTTCCGTCGTAAGTGCTTAATAGAGAACCGACTGTGTCAAAAATTGTGTGTGAAATTAATCTACTGAATCAGCTACATACGTTACTGAGCTATAATTAAAGAACAGTATTTCAGAGTGGCTACAGGATCACCATTTGAAAGCAATTCTGAACAAGTACAATAAAATCATGCTTCAATTAAGCCGGTGATATCCATTTATAGTCGAAACTCGTGAATGCAGGACTTTAATTATTATTTGAACGTGAGTTATAAGAAGAACTCATTATGAGTTTATGACGCACGTTGCAACGAAACAGTATGTAAATTGACATTCATTAAAGCAGCATTAGTAGAACTCGCTCCTACCGTCTTGTACGAATCTAGATCTTTTAAATTATACGTTGCAGGTTGAGCGTTGAACATATGACCGCTAAATGAGCACACTGCAGCAATTACGCTCAAGAAATTTTCTTAAAATTAAAAATAAGTGAGATGGCGTAATTGTCATTAATTATACGCTGTGAATACCATCGATGGACCAGCGAAACGTTAGACGGGGTTCTACGAGACAGTAAATGATCCGCAGGAACTCTTCCGGATCGATGGCAGGATGAGCTGAAGAAATTCATTGAATGAAGATGGATA